AGCTCATTAATGGCTGGAAATTTATTTGTTCATTAGGAATTGAAATGGGTTTTGGTGAATTCATTACTTTTTTTTTATACATTTGGTATGTAAGATCAGATTAAATGGGTTATGGGTCGGATTTAATTGATAATTTGTTTTTAAAGGGATAATTCGGGTCGAAGTTGAGAATTTGGAATTGATTTGGGGAAATCGTTAATTTGGAGGGTACATATGATGAGTTTGTAGACGGCAGGGGTAAAACTAACCTCGTTTTAACGGTAAGGGTTTAGTCAACCAATAAAATAAAGTTGAGGGGTATTTTTGACCCTTCTTCCTCTGCTTTTGCTCCTAACATTGCTTCTTAAAAGCTCATTAATGGCTGGAAATTTATTTGTTCATTAGGAATTGAAATGGGTTTTGGTGAATTCATTACTTTTTTTTTTATACATTTGGTATGTAAGATCAGATTAAATGGGTTATGGGTCGGATTTAATTGATAAATTGTTTTTAAAGGGATAATTCGGGTCGAAGTTGAGAATTTGGAATTGATTTGGGGAAATCGTTAATTTGGAGGGTACATATGATGAGTTTGTAGACGGCAGGGGTAAAACTAACCTCGTTTTAACGGTAAGGGTTTAGTCAACCAATAAAACAAAGTTGAGGGGTATTTTTGACCATTTTCCCTTTATTTTTTAAATTGTTTGCATCAATATTTTCATAATTAAAGGGACATTATTTAAGGATGACCATTTTATCTATGATAGAGATAATGAGAATATAAAAAATAATATACTCGCTTCGTTTCAAAAAGAATGATCTCATTTCCTTTTTAGTCTGTTTAAAAAAAAATGACTCATTTCCTTTTTTGGCAACACTTTAACTTCAACTTTCCACATGACATATTAAAGGCCACAAGATTAAAGAACATTTTGGTACATTTCACATAACTTTAATTTAGAACCACAAGAATAAAAGTCTTCTTTCTTTTCTTAAACTCCGTTCCAAGTCAAACTAGGACATTTTTTTTGAAAAGGAGAGAGTATTAGAAATCATTCAAATGATAGCTTTTTGATGAAATTCTAATGTGTCTTTTCGTGAGTAGTGTCATAATGGTAAAGTGGTGACACAGTAACAATAATTTTCAACTAGTATTTTTGAAAGTGAGAACAAATAATTGTTAACAATAATGATTGATTTAGAGCAATGTTGGATGGTAGTTGAGAAAATGAACCCGACACAGTTTGAAAATTTTTATGGTGGGAGAGGCACAACTTGGTATGTGAGGCATTATTTTTTAATTAAAAAATACACAGGTCCAATTACTCCTATCCTTCTCATTCTATATTGTTATTTCTCTCTCCAACCTTTACTTCTCACCCCTCCTTTTTCTCATTTCTTTCCTTTCACCTTTTTATTTTTCTAATTTCTTAATCAGTTTTTCCAATGGTTAATTTTATAGTTGAGAATACAAGAAAAAAATATGGGAGGAAATTGCAAAATAAAAATTAGAATTTTCATCTATGAAATGAATATTTAGATAGTTAATCAACTAATCTATTAAAATAGTTTATTTGATATGTATATATACATTTGATTGGTTAGTTTTTTTTTTCACTGTCAAACCACAACGAAACAATAAAATCAAGTTTTTCAATTTTCTCAGTTTTTTTTAAGTTCCATTTGAAATATGCTACACTAAATTAAATTAATTTTTATGAAATATGACGCAATTGTCACACTATTTCATACAATTATATCTACTTCAATTTATTATAAATAATTATATAAACACTATCATCTTTAACGCATAAAAAGGAAACAATATTTTGTATATACAAATATTAATATATATAATATATTTCCCCTTTTGTGGCATTATGGTTGATAGTTTTTTTATATAACGGTTTTACAATGAGTTATATTAAATAAATAATAATGGTACAAAAATAGTATGATATTTACATTATATTTCATAAAAATAAAATTCATTTTATTGTAAAATGTTTCAAATCAAGATAAAAAATATTAAGAAAATCGAAAAATTTAATTTCATTAATTTGGTATGGTTTATTAATATAAAAATTAGATGAAATAAATTCAATTTGATAAGTGAAAATTAATCAATCATGCTTAAATACATGTACCAAAATGAGGGATATTAATAGTTTAGTTGATTGACTATCTAGACTTTTATTTCGTAGATGAAGGTTTTATTCTTCATTTTGTAATTTTCTCCACCATTTTTATGTAATTTAAAAAAATTTAAAATAATATATTTGTTAATTATCAAATATGAAAAAGAAAAAATATACGAATGATATAAATAAAATTGACTAAATAAAATTCATACCTTAAAATTGATCTGAAATATTAGAGGAAAGAAGAATAAAATAATTTTTTTATAAAAAAAAAGGGGCAAAGAAAAGAAATGGACAAGTGAACAAATGTGGAGTAAAATGTATGAGAAAAAGAATAACAATGTAAAATAAAACAAATAGGACCCACATAATTTTTTATTCATAAATTAAGTAAGACAGGAGAGAGAAACAACAATATTGAAAAGGAAAGGTGAGACCTACATATTTTTTAATTCAAAAATAATACCTCACATACCAAGTCATACTTGTGCCTCTCCCACCATAAATTTTTTCGACACAATTCAACAAATTTTACGAGCGTATTTGGATCATTTCAGACCGTTTAACGACAAATATCTTTTTTTCATTGAATAGTAGGACATGTGTTAAAAATTATTTGTCGTTACAGTAAGTACGTCGTATTTGAACAAACTCAATAGGGACAAACATATATTTAACCTCAATTACTAATGATTTCAAATTCAAGCCATTTCACAATATTGTTTTTTCCTTATTTTTTTTATAATAGTAAAAAAAATAAAAAAACAAACAACTATAATTTGGAGCATAATTATCCTTAGTAGCCATACTTTTTAAAATTATGACTTATAGCTAATGGCTTAAAACCATATCTGGTGCTTAAATTTATTGTTGGCTTAAGTCATCGACGGCTCCTTAAAGTTGTCCGCATATTTCACTTAGACACCTCAACTAGGATTAATACCTATTGAACATTTTTGTCTATTCAAATCTTGTTCCTATTAGACATTTTTTGATAATAAGTGAAAAATATAAAATGTGTGTGATACACTCGCGATGACGTGGCAAAATAATTAATGAAAAAATGACATGTGGCAAGTGGGCCCCAAAATTTATGGAAGAATGATTTTTATATTAAAAAAAAAGTTTACTACAAATACATTTTCAATCTTTTTAATATACATAAAAACATTGAATATAATAACACATTTTTACCCGGCCCCACACTACCCCCACCCCGTTCTTCTACCCTACGCCTTTCTTCTTCATCTTCTTTCCGGCAACATTTCTCTTCTTAAACCACTCTATATCTTCTCAAACTACTTGTAGACTCAATTTTTTAAAAAATAACAAGAATTTTTCGTACCTAATACGTGAGAGAAAGATATAAAGTGAGACTCGTACAAGAGTGATGAAGAAGCGGAGTTTGTTAACGAAGTAATTATTTCAAATCGGGTGCAAAGAGAAATCAAGAGGACCCAAATTAATTTTATCGAATTCTTCGATTTTATTTTTTATAAGTTAAATGAGTTTATATTTTAATTCGAATGGTGATGTTTGTTTGGAGGTGCTGGAAATGGAGCTGGCGGCTACATTTTTATACTTCAATGTCCAATTATTATTTTTCCGGCAAAGCTAATTAGTTGATTTTCATTACTCCAATGTCCAAAAATCTTGTTTCTTCTTTCTTTAGTAGATCCAATTATTTGATTTAAAAAAAAATACACTGTAAGTTTGATTTTGAAAATAGGTGAAGAAGACGACTGAAATTAGGGGGAGGGGAGGAAGGGGGTGGGGGATTTTCCTTTTTTGGATTAGTTTTTTTTTAAATTATTTACAATGCCAATTTTAAGTTTTTTCAAAAAAATAAATAAATTAAAATATGATTTCAAATGTCTTCACGCGCTAAAAGAAGGTGAAAAATACTTTTTCTGCCATATCAACATTTTGTGTTTAATAGGTACACTTTTTGAACAATTTAGGTGTTCAATAGGTATTGTCCCTAGTTCAGGTGTCTAAATGAAATATGCGGATAACTTTAAGGGAACATCGATGACTTAAGCCTTAATTGTTTTGTTGCTCAAATTTCTCGTATTTGTTCACTTAAATTTGATATACATATTCACTCAATTATATTGATTGCTTAATTCCATTAGATATTATTTTCTGCTCAAACCAAATTGTAAAACATATAATTTTGTTAGATACACTGAATTTGTACTTTAATCAGTGAATGTGATTTTTAGTGTAGTGCATTGTGTATGTATCGTAAACAGATTTGTGATACATGTATATACCATTCATGTACATTGTTGGATGCATACATCATTTCGTTTTAACTATATTTCATTGAGCATATCATTATTGATGTAAAGACATATTTTATGCACACTTTTGACTGTACACATTTTTTTTTTACTTTATTTCAATAAATATATCACTATTAACTGTTGATATCAACACATGACCCAATTAAGGCAAAATATAAAAATATAATAGATACATATATCGATAATTGAATTCATAGATAAAAATATGAAATGCGTGCTATGCATCACTATATTCACGACATCTGATCGATTGTATTTTGTATCAATGCATTCATTACTATATTTCCAATTATATAAAGCAACATAAAGTGGTAAAGAGAAAATTCGCAACATTATTGCCGTTAGTTATGGTTCCAAGATACAAGAACATACGTCTGTTTTTAAGCTCATGAATACAAGTTGATTGTTGATAGAGTTTCATCGGACAACTTCAATTGTTCATCTTCAATGTTGTATTTTTTTTGGAAAAAATAATCACATTCAACTAAAATTTACATCAATCCTCAAGTCTGAAGTATGAATTCATTGTGATAAACCCAATCTTTTAAAAGAACACTTCACTTCAAAATAAATAATAATAATAATAAAAAAAAAGATATCCCCATTAGTTTTAAAATGGTAATAATATAAAGAACCCTCCACCCCCTCTTTTTACACTTTTTCCAAGGAATTCTTTTGTTGGGAAGAAGAGGAGGGACATTATCTTTGTTTGGTTGCATTTCATTTTTTTAAGGCTGTCATCTTACAAATAGGACACACATTCTTCAGCATTAGCCACTGCTTTATGCAACTGCTATGGAATTCATGTCCACAATCCAATATGCCCATGTAATCTCCACTTGTGTATTCCTCCCGACATATACAGCAAGGCGACGATGACCCTCCATATACTGGCTCATGCTTTCGCTGTTTCATACGTCCCAAAATGATTTCTTCACTCAATCCGGTGTTCACATTTCCTATATGTTCTTCCAATGCCAATAATTCCTCGTACGACATGTTATCAACATCGAGCCTCATGCCTCTATGTCTATCATGCAACTCCGCGACATTGTTGACGAATGGATCAAGCATCATATGAAACAATTAATCACTATAGGAAATTTTAAAATCGTCAAATGTGAAACTTAACTTCAAATTTTAGGATTTTAAAACTCTCTTTGCCAATTGACGAGTTTCCTTTACAAGTTTCTCATAGAATAATTCCAATCTTTATATCATGATTCCAAGTTCATACTCCAATTCTGAAATCTCAATTTTATCTATTTTCCTTCAGTTGGGCTATTCCCAAATCTCGCTAAAAAAAACAGCAAAAACATTTTTAACTATAACAAAAATGACACAAACTCAAAAGACATCAATAAAATCTATATGACATGATTTTTTTGACCAAGAACCAAAGTGAGTGATAAAATATGTCAAATATAGACGTGGTCCAAACTTGAAATAAAAAGCATGCTTATATTTATCACTAAACTAAAAATATAATACATATTATGATTTTGATAAACAATAGCTATGTATATTGATACATATGTTTGCAATTTATTCATCAATATTCTTCTATATGAATATATTTGTTACTCCATTAAAACTAAAAAGATAATACATATTGTGATTTTGATAAATAATAGATATGTATATTGATTTATGAGACACAAAGCCAATTTTTTTATTAGAAATGTATAAAACACAAAACTAAAAATAAAAATGTATGAGACACAAAGCTAGTTTTTTATTTGAAAATTCTTTTTTTTTCCGCTCGTAAAATACTTAGCAAGATTTTATAATATAAACGAGTATTTCAACATAAAATTCTGCTCGACACAAACACATTTCTCTATTTTTCTTTTCCAAAAACCTTCTTCTCCACATCTCTTGTTATTTATTCATATTATTAAAATATTTATCTTAAATTATTTCTTAATTTATAAAATTAAGATAGATTTTTTTAAAACTTTTTTTTAATATATATATATATTTAAAAAATATAAATATTGTAGAGTTTTTTAAAAGTTTTTCTATTTTTAATTTTGATATGCCATATAAAACATGTATTAAAAAAGAGTTAAATAATAAATTAATAATTATGATATTTTTTCTTCAAAAATAGTAGGATAAGTAGAATATAATTTTGAAAAAGAAAAGAAAAAAAGGGATGATAAATTAGCGAAAGAAAAGCAGTCACACCTTTCCCCTTACCAGGACCAACGAAGCAGACAGCGGGAGCTATGGTACTGCACTGCTGCTTCACCGGAACTACCCTCCATTCCCTCAAACTTGCTGCAATTCCTTACTTCTCCAGAACCCTAACCTCTCGTCTAACGCCCTACTATCCAAGGCCGCTGTTCCCTCTTGCCGTTAGATCCCTTTCTGCCGCCTCCTCCGCCGCCACCTCCACAGACGAGTATCAAGGTAATTTTATATTGACGTTTTTTTAGTTTTGTTTTGTTTTATTATAACACTAAATATTGCGGCGGTGAATATAGTGGTGAAGCCCCAATGGAAAGCTGCAATTGATTTCAAGTGGATAAGAGATAATAAGGAGTCAGTTGCGGTTAATATTAAGAATAGGAACTCCAATGCTAATCTGGAGATTGTTCTCGAGCTCTACGAGAAGTTGCTCAGTGTTCAGAAGGTCAATTTTCTATCTCACTTGTTCACTCTTTTGAAGATAATGTCTCAACCTTTCGATATTTTGCATTTATCTTCAAAATTCATAATTCAGTTGTGCTGTTAGTGAAACTTGTTAACTTGAGCAGTAGCTACTGCATCACTGTATAATCTTCGTGAACATTTAACATTTTACGGACATATATACATACTATAATGGAATTAATGGAAAATGGAATTCAGAAGAAGACACCTGTATGTGACTCTATAATGTGGATAACCAGAGTCATGATATAAGTTTGAAAATCCTTTACGAGGAGTATGAACATTTCTCTTATGTTTCTCTCCTGTTTTCTTATGGTTGGTCTGGGAAAGTTCCAGCCTCCCTCCTGCCAACTGTCTAAATTGTGTTTCAAAGAAGTTCAGAATTAGTTTTTCTCCCTCTCGCCAACTGTGTAAATTGCATGATAAAGAAGTTTAGAATTAGTGTTTCTCTCACATGGCAACTGTAATTGCATTTTAAAGAAGTTCAGCATTAGTGTTTCATACTTTTGGCAAAAATGATTGCGGATATAGGTATCAGGTGGCTGTTAATTGATTAATGGATGTGTTCTGCTGTGTACTTCTTGTTTTTTTTCTTCTTAAGTTTAAGCCATCACCTTAGGTTGTGGGCCTGAGGTGTGGGGGGTTTGGCTTGGACCCCTACCATGTTAATTAAGTAGCAAAAATATGTATAATGACAAGAGGGGGACATGGAACCTTGCCTCAAGTCTACAAAAAAAGATTGCACAACAATCTTGCTAGGAAAGGAAGTAGCCCATGGACAATCCTTTCCAAATATCCAAAAAGAACTTTAACTAACAAAGAAGTTACATTTTTCATATCTTCTCCTAAAAGTAGGAGTTTGCCATTTATCAAGTTGAAGTAGATCCTTTGCCTCTCTATGAAGTTCTTTAAGTGGGTGATAAAAGGTTCTAGTTCCACTTGTAGAGGCCATTTTAGCAAGGAGGTCTGCAGTTTGATTTGTTTCCCTGTAGCAATGAGAAATGGCATACTGATACCAGTGAGATGATTTACGATACCACTCACAATGTGTTTGAGCTTTAGATTGTTGGTATCCTTGTTGATCAACATGTTGGAGATGACGAGAGAGTCCAATTTGATGTCTAATATTGTGAATCGCTGTTGCATGCACCATTGTACACCAAACTTGACTGCTAAAGCTTCAGTCTGGTTGTTGCTTTGACTGTGAACCGGGACAGAATAAGCCATGATGAAATCTCCTCTTTCATTCCTTACCACACCCGCTATACCAGCCTTGTTTGTATCCTTGTAGAAACTGCCATCAGTATTGAGCTTTATCCTTCCAGCAATTGGTTTCTTCCAGCTAACAACAGTGCTTCTAACAAGAGGTCTAATCTTTTCCACATTATTGCAAATATTGACCCAGCTTTCTTCAATAGCTATGTTGGGAAAGGCTTCATTAATTACAGCTTTCATATTCCAAATGCACTGTTTGATCATTTGATATAGATATAATTTACCATTCTCTCCATAACTACAACTAGCCCAAGATTTCCATATTTCCCAACATATCATGATGGGTGTTGCTTGTAAAATCAGCTTGTGCACCATATTTCTTGGTTTAAGGCTCCAACATTTGTTGAATACTCCTCTAATTGGCATTGTATCATGTCTAATAGCCAGAGGCGCACCCATTATTTTCCACATATGTTCAGCAACCTTACCTTCGACAAATGTATGTTGTATACTATCATTTTGTGGTACCAAACAACACACACAATCCACATTTTCATTGTTCCCAAACCTTGATAAAGCTCCTCTAAAAGGCAAATGTCCAAAAAATATCCTCCAACTGATAAAAGAGTGTTTGAAAGGAATTGATTTGTCCCACAGATTAGAGACTAAAGTGTTGATCTGTCTGTGGTTCCTAATCAAGTTCCAAGCAGAGCTATTAGAATAGTGACCATCTTCTGTATCATTCCAGATAGCATAATCTTTAATTTCATCATTTCCAAGTCCAGTAGATGTGATATGTAAAGCTACATGACTAGGAAATGTGTTATAGAGCTTCTGGACATTCCACCTGTTATTTCTCAAGAAGTCTTTTACGTCTGCTTTAGCATTGTCTCTTGTCATAAAGTTTGGACAGATGTTGGCAAGAGCACCCATTTCTGTCCAGTTATCCCACCATAAACTGCATTTACCATTGTTAATTTTTCACCGAATGCATTTTCACTCATATCTCTTGCTCAGTGTTGTGAAAGGCGCTCGCCTTTCGCCAAAGGCGATAAGGCGAGGCCCTCACGCCTTTTCACAGTGTGGCGAGGCGAAGTCAGAAAGGCGACGTAAGGCGCCAATATGGCGATGGCGAGGTGGCGCCTCTTTTAATTTTTTTTTATTTTTAAAATAAGGTCTGACTTGATAATATTAGTCAAAATTAGAGTTTTTTTCAAACTTTCATCAGTCTCCAGTAGCGACTTCTTCTCCTCTTCTCCAGTCGAGCGTCTTCTTCTCCTCTGCGCGAGTCTGCTGCAAGGTATGACCTGTTTTTCTTCTTCTTCTTTTTAGTTTTTCTCGAATCTCGACCTCTTCTTCTTCTTCAGTTCTCTTCTTGACTTCTTCTTCTTCTCTTCTTTTCTTCTTTTCTTCACTTCAGTTCTCTTCTTTTCTTCAGTTTCTTGTTGCTGAACCCAGGATTGTGAATCGAGCTGAAACTGCTGCTCACTGCTCTGTTTTGTTCACTGTCACTGCTGACTGCTGTCTCTATTTAAAAAAAATAAAAATTTAATCCTTCTATAATTATTTCTTCCCTACTTAATTTAGTTTTATAGTAATTAATATAGTATTTATTTGTCCATAAATAAGTGAATTCAATTGTCTTTTGAATTATTGGGTCTTTAAAGTTCTAGACTTTTAGTATCTAGTAGTAATAGTTTTTGAATTGAATTATTTGCTAATATATGTTGTTGCTATTGAGATTTTGGATATTTATATATGCAATTAAATATTTTTAATTTTTGGTATTAATTGGCGCCTCATTTCAAAAAGGCGAGCGCCTCGCCGTGAGGCGAGGCAGGCCCTTGTCGCCTTTCGCCGTCCAAAACACTGCTCTTGCTAGCAGAAGGTGTTTCCAAGCTTGTGAGTTGCCAGCATACCAGTTTTTGCCCACGACATGGATTATAGAACAATATTAGAAAATATTTAGAGATTTCAAATAGAAAATATAAAGGAAAATCTCTAGACGTGTTGTCTTATATTTTCTATCATGTCCCTTATATGTTGTATACTCAATAATATCAAATTATATAAAAAAATTGTTGTGAGAATATTTTGCTTTATGTAACTTCTTTCTTCATGTGGTCTACTGAACTCTACAATTTTCTAGAAATAAACTACCACAAATGTATGAAGCTTATCTTCTAGCAATATACTACTACCAT